GCTGTTTGTAGTCTTAAGAAATGAATACAGAAAAAAAAAAGAGAGAGAGAAAGAAATGGATACAGCATCATCTTCTATAATAGTTCCTGCTAAACTTATTTGTCTTCATGCTGAATACTGCCTTTCCAAATTAAGGTTTATTTCTCTAGGACCTTTCTAAGGATTTACATCTTGTAAGGTTTTTATAAAGTGAAATGGATGTTCTTTGCTGGCTATCCCCCTCTTATACTGGGATATCAAATCCTTCTTTTCATTTCTTAAATTGATGTTCTGTGGACCTCTCTGAGGGAACTTCAAATATTTAACCGCAAGGCTTATCCTAGGCTTGTGTATGTACTGTGTGTATATCTGTGCTTTATGCATAAAAAGAGCAAGATTCCCTCTTCCCTCCAAAGACCAAGTTTGGCCTGGTTGGGGGGGCATTTAGTCCTGTTGAGAATGCACACCCTGGAGTCTGGAGGCAAACATTTGGGTTTGGATCCTGCTCCCACCCTTACCTGGAACAGTAACATGCCTCAGTGAGCTCAGCGTCTACAACTATAACAGGGGGTGCCATCCACCTTGCAGGACCATAAAGTGGAGAGTGTTGGCATCTAATTAGCATTCTTTTCTGGAAATCTACTCTCTGCCGCCCGCAGCCTAGATTCAGCCCTACCTTGCCCGAGCTTTCCAGTCTGCCCAGTGCTCCCCCTTCCTTTGTCCAGCCTGCCTTTGCCTCCTGTCCTCCCCTGCTGAACACCTACCTCATGAAAGCCCAACTCAGGCATCCCTTCCTCTGGGACACCTGTCCTGCTGTTGCTCTAACCACGGGGCCCCCACGGGGACTTCAGAGTCTCCAGCAGAGCACTCTTCACTCACAGCTGCTCATGCACAGACTCATCTCCAGTTACTATGGAAGCTGCCGTGAGCAGTACTGAAATCTGTTTGACTCTTTAACCTTGGCCATTAACGTAGGCCTGGGCACTTGCTAAAGGAGAGAACCAGTGCCTTTGCTTATCAGAGAAATTTCAAAAAGATCAAAATTTCTGGTTAGGCTTTAGCACTTTCACTGCCGTGGCTGGAGTTCAGTTCCTGGTTGGGGCACTGAGATCCTGCAAACTGCTAGGTGTGGCCAAAAAAAAAGAGAAGAATTTAAAAAAAAAAAAAAGAATAAAAAAATTTAAAAAATTTCAGGCTGACCCCTTCCCCATAGTAACTGTCCTGAAATTTATGCAAGGAGGCTTCAAGGAAGAAAGGAGAAAAGGAACATTACAAACAAAAGGCACACCAAGAACTCGTGTCAAAAAATTATACGATAAACATCGCAAGTGAACACGTGAACAAACAGTTCTCCAGAAAATCAGTGATGGGCAATAAAGAGTTGATTGTTTTAGCACAGGCCTCCTGTGTAGGCTGAACTCAGTAAGCATTTATGGAGGAAACAAGTGAAAAATGTTTAATTTACCATGATGTGTGTCAGTGTGTATTTCCAGGAACAAGGACACTCTCTTATAGAGCTATGTAAAGTGATCAATTTCAGGAAATTTAAAATTAATACAATACTATTCTACCATTATCTATATTCAAATGGTGTCAATTGTCCCAATGTCCTTCATAGCTATTTCCCCTCACCTCAAGAGTTGATTAAGGATTAGGCATGTCACTTGGGTATCGATTCTCGTTAGTCTTCTTTAATCTAAACATTTCCTCAGTCTCTTTTTCTTTAATGACATCAATATTTTGAAGACTTCAAGCCAGTTGGTTTGAATAATATTGCTCGGTGTGTCTTTGATGTTTCCCAAGATGAGATTTATTCTAAAATTTGGAAGGGTAGACTGTCTCTCACAGTACACAAATGAAACTTCCCACCAACATTCCTCAATTTTTTTCCCTTAAATTCTTCAATCTAGTCAAGAGATTTGTCAGTTGTACAGCTTTTTCACTGAACAGCCGTGGGTAAGATGGGATTTTTCCAAGCACACAGTAACTTTCTTTGACTTGTTGCATCATGGTGTGTAGAGAAATCTCAAGAGCTCATTAACCAAAATGAACTACATGAAATTGGCACACAGTGCTGCCAACACAAATAATTCCATTGCCATTCAGGCTCCTTTGCCACATAAATATTCCACAAAGGGTACACCTAGGAAGAATGCTCTCTGTTCAAAAAAGTGAAAACACTTCAAAGAAACCATCACATACATAATTTTTTAATATAAGAATTTACCCATGCTAATACAATATACACATTATTTTAAATGTCTCATCATATTCTGTCAAGTTGAATGTATCCTAACTTACTTCCTCTGTTCTATTGTTGGACATTTAGATTATTTCTGGGTTTTACATTACAAATAATCCAGTATATCTCATTTTTGTATTGAGAATTATTTTTGTATTAAAAATATTCCATCGTCTCTTTAGGTATAGGTTTTCAAAAATGAAATTACTGGGTTAAAGGACTTGAACATGCTAATGGCTCTTGATACACGTTGGTAAAAGGTTATGCCCATTTCAACTTTGCCAGCAATGGATGAGAGTGCCTTTTTCCATCTACCCTTGCCAACACTGAAGAGAATGCTGAAAAAAAACCCATTAATTTCGTGAGAAAAAAGCTACTTGAAGCATAAATCTCTATTCCCTTGCTTTCTATTGAGGTTCAACATTTCCCCATATACTTGTTAACCTGTGGATGTCCTCATCCCATAGTGATAATTTTTTAATATCATATCTTCTTTAGGGCTATTGCAAACCCATTAGGATATCTCTAAAACATACTGTGGAGTTTATACTAAAAGGGCAGCATCCTAATTTATGAATCCTGTGGACTGTGTGGAACACCAAGCAATAAGTGATCAGGTAGAAGTAAAGGATATTTGACTCCAAGTGAAAAGAAATGAAGGCTTAAGTTGTCTCAGAAAAACCAAAGCCAATGCCACAGGCATAATCAGGAGATATGTTTTGATTTCAGTCCCAGGGATAATTTTTCTCTCTCATTCCCCGAAAACAGTCTCCCAAACTGATCTGTGTTAAAGGTAATAGCACAAAACAACAAAATCAGAGAGAACAATTTTTATAATGAAGCAAAGAACTAAGAAGCCAATTTGTTTCCGAGAAAAGTAGGAATGCCATTCCTGAATCAGTTCGACACCAAATGATGACTGACGTGTGCATCTAGGCTCACTGAGAAAGTTCGGTTTCCTCAGAAGATCTTAAACAACCAGTATAAGTCCTTATTTATAATGTTTGACTGAATCTATGCAATAAATGGTCAAGAAGATAAAGTTTTATATAATAAAAAGATGACAAAGGGAATGATCCTATAGTATCCCATTAGCTATATAACTTCTAAAATAAGTAATCCATCATTCATTCTATAATAAATTCACTGAAGTTTGTTAATCTCCCAAAGCTAAAAATTTTAAACTAACACTGACAACAGAAATATGTTTTAATGCAAAACATATGGAGAAAACAAACTGACGAAGCACAAACCATCTGATCATAATCAGAGCAGTGACCATTACCAGGGAATTTTCATTTAAAATTCTTAAAATGCTTTTACTATAAGAAATAACCAACCAGAACCCTAGGACAGGTAGACTCTTTTTCACTGTGAATGAGAAAGAGGAAAGCTGAAGTTCTGGACTACCACCGTTTTTACAGTGACTTGACATTACCTGTGTCCTCCCCAAGGAAGCCTACATTCTAATCTGAGTCCCTCCTATAGAACCACACCACAGACAGGCCCGGGTGCTTGATATAGTCATTTACTTCTGACACAATTGGTTAATTTTATCACATGGATGTCTACCCTGTATTCCTAATGCCTTAATTTTCTGTGAGCAAGAATTTTTATTATTATAATTATTCATGGCTCCACAGTATCTCAAAAACATATGCCTATGGTAGCTACTGGATAAACAGCTAGAAATTAAACCAATGCACCAAAAATGGGATTAATTTACATAGGAAAGGAAAGGTATGTCATAGGCAGTGGGGAGTGAAACATGAGTCTAAAAAGCGGTCATCTCTGCAACTTCACAGAGCTGCTATCCACTATTTTACTGGGATTTCACACAATACATACACAGGTATTCTTCGTGTAATTTGACATATACAGTGTTTTAAAATCCAGTTGCTCGCATATGAATATGCTGAAAGAATATCCCAGAGAGTAATATCCTAAAGTAAATCACTTCTAAACCAAGGTGAATTTCAGACTGCACAAGGAGCAGAGAAGCTGATGGTCAAAGTGGATGGCAGCACAAAGTGACCCCAAACACCATCCCCCAGCCAGACACCAGGTATTTAGTCTAGACCATCTATTGGAAACTAATTTTTTTGTTGGTTTCAAGAAACTGGGCACGTTTTAAAATCTGTTACTTATCTGAAATTTTCCGTACTTGATTCAAGTCAAAATATTCCTTAAATGTTTCCCATGATGAATTTGGCAGTACAATGCTGAGAGGTTACACAGCTTGTTCCTACATAAATAAACTCTTCTGAAGCATCCTTCAAAATGTAACAGACTGTCAGCCCACAGGCCATACATCTGAGACACTTTGACCTAGACATACTTCTCTATCAAACGGAGACTTAGAGAAATTTCAAGAAGCAAAACCTGCCCCATGAATCATGGACTTCTTTCCTGGACAGGTTCTTATGATGGACTTGAATAATATGGAAAACCAGGAAATGAGTTCAAACTTTTGCATCTTCTTTGATTTCAGACAATAATAATCCCAAGACCTCTGGCGATGTCCCCACAGGACATCATACAAGATTGAACCAGTGAAATTCCCAGCTTCTCCTCAGCATCCTCTTTCTGCTAACTTTAATTAAACAAGTTTGGGTGTGTTCTATCTGCATTAGACACACTGAATGTAGAAGACAGCTTAGTAAACCTCCCCTTTCTTAAAAAATAATGCCGATCAGTCAATCACTGTCGGCCCCACCTGTTTGAAGGAAGATGGTGCCTCCCGTTAGCTGAGACCCTAAGGGTGCACTTGGCCACTCACCTCGCCTGCTGGCAGACGCAGCAGATCCACACCTTCTCATGCTTCTGGTAGGAGCAGCAGCTCTTGCAGACGTTGAACTTACAGTCCCCACACTGGCGCTTGGTGTTGACAAGGAAGGTGAAGGGTGAGCAGCAGCGCATACAGCAGTGCTCCACGAACTTCTGGTGCTTGGAGAGGATGCTGCACTTGCTGCCTTCCTCATCCAGCTTCTGCTTCATCTCGCTGGGGAGCCAGGTTGGGGAAAGGGTGAGGAGAAGAGAAACAGCGCATCAGGTCAGGGGGCTCCCTCCCTAAAGCACGCCACCCTGGCCCTCCCATATGGCAAGCTGCCATATAGGATCTTCCCGTAAAACACAGAAAGATCAATGGCTTGACATAATATCCAGAGAGGAACCCTAATGGTGGATTAATTTTGTGTTCTTCTATATGTCATATTTTCTATAAGAAAGCACAAAACCTTATTACTTATATTTCAGACACTAGATTTAAATACAAATTATTATAAAGCTAAGCACATTAAAAAGAAATCCTTTAGCTTAATTAATGTCTTTTTAAAGGAGCAGGAGATCATTTATGTTAATATATTAATCCTTATAACAGCCCTGCTGGGAATATGATAAATGCAGTCCTGGCCCTTAATATCCCTGGAAACTGAAGCACCAGGGATTTTAAAAGCTTTCAAATCAATGTAGTCAATAAAGATTCTCTGGGTGATGGGCTAATCCTAAACACTGGTGACTCAGAGTTGGATAAAAGTTAACCCCCTTCTTCCAAAGAGCTTGTGGATGTTCTGGGCACACAACTGGTCATAGTAATGTAAAACACAACACTGCATGCACTTTTCTCTAAACTCTGAGGAGGAAAGGAGAAACCCTAAGAGGCAAGGATCTACCCCAAACACACTGAGTTACCCAGGATACAACTGACCGGAAGTAACCAAGTTATTCTACCTTGGCAAATTTGAGTTGTTTTTTCCTGTTCAAAGATACACACCCACAAAGAATAACAGAAAATAATTTTTGTTTCTGTATCCATTTTGTGATTGTGCAATTCACCCCAGATGAATCTATGATGTATGTGGCAAATATTTTCTTTCATTTTGAACTTGTCTTTTCAACTTTGCTTATTGGTGTCTTTCATCATTTAGAAGCGTTTAATTTTTCTGTAGTTAAATTGGTCAGTCTTTTCTTCTATGGCTTCTGAGTGTTACATCTTGCTTATTACTCCTCCCACCCTCTACCAACCACTAATCTACTTTCTATTTCTTTGAATTTGGACATTTAATATAAATGGAATCATACCATATGTGTTTAAGGTTCATCCATGTGACAGCATGTATCAGAATTTCATTCCTTTTTATGGCCAAGTAATAGTCCATTTACAGATGTACCATATTTTATTTATCCATTCATCGACTGATAGACATCTGGGTTCTTTCTACTTTTTTGGCTATTTTGAATAATGCTGCTATTGACATTCATGTATAAGTTTTTGTGTGGACGTATCTTTTCAATCCCAGGAGTGGAATTACTGGGACATATGGTAATGCTAAATGTTTAAACTTTTAAGAAACTACCGGAGTGTTTTCCAAATTGCTGCTCCATCTTACATCCCGCCAGCAACATATGAGGGTTCTGATTTTTCTGCATACTCACCAACACTTGTTATTGTCTGCCTTTTTTATTATAGCCATCCTAGGGGGTTTGAGGTGGTATCTAATTGTGCTTTTGATTTGCATTTCCCTACTAGCCATTTGTACGTAGTCTTTGGAGAAAAGTCTATTCAAATCTTTTACCCATTTTAAAATTAGAATATTTATCTTTTTCATCATTGCGTTATAAGAGTTCTTTATAATATTCTGGATACAAGTCCCTTATCGGATATATGATTGGCAAATATTTTCTCTTTCTTATATTAAACCTTATATTTTATTAGTATTTTTAGGTGTTTTTAGTACAAAGAAGGGCTGCACTAGCTCATCCCAGCCTGCTACTAGAATGGGAAATCTACATATGGTTTTATAATCTAATTTTTCACTTAACAACAACACATCATAAACATCTTTCCATGAAAATTCAAAGAGTGTTTGTAGCTTTAGCTTTCAGGTCCCCTGAGCTGGATTACGTGGCTGCCAGTATACGCACAGGGCTTTCTGCTCTGCACTGCGGTGCCCGATACTCATTTGTTTCTTGAGCATTAGAAGGGGAGACTACATCAGGCCAGCTGATAATTCTACAGGGTAAAATATTGTATATGTATACTTGGCTGAACAAAATATTTACAGGGAAACAGGACAGAGGTTTTTTTCCTTAAGACATGAAGATGTTGTTATCCAGTCCCTCGGGTTTAGAATAGAAGGTGAGCGAAGTTATCAACGGCTCTGACCTCTGTAAACAATATAAGAACAGCCTCAGCAATTGACCTTCTTCTATTGATATTTCAAAGACACTGAATTAAATAGGATAAAACAACCAGGAAGGAAAGTCTTTAGGGATCAAAAAAAGCTCTGTGAACTCAATGCACAAGATCACTTGAGCTTTATGAGTTTTGTTTCCTGATACACAGGACTGCAAATGCCAATGGCATTTAAAAACTCACTGAGAGTCTAGTGATAAAACTGTACCAATTCCTCCAAAGTTTGTTCCAAGCAAATGGGTGTTTTGAACCACAGGCTCAGTAGAGGAATAGAATGCCCTTCTTGTGAACCATCTCTCACTTCTCAGATTCTACTGCCCTATAGTACCTCATGGGAGAGGTCACTGAATTGTATAGGATAACCTGTAGTGGCTAACTGCAGAGTCAACCAAGAATTATGCAAGACCAGGTACCTGCACTGAAACGTCCTGGGAAGGACCAGGCCCCCAAATGGTCAGCCATGTGGGAAAGAGTGATGGGCTTAGAGTCAGTGGCTGGGGTGTAGAGCTGAGCTCAATCACTTCTCAAAGATCCCTCCAACCTTTCTGAGCCTCTGCCTTCTGAGAGGCAACAGTAATTCCTACTTCGCAGAGTTTCCAGAGATTTTAAGTGAGCAAATCAACAATAAGCAAATAGTACTTTTCATTTTGATTAGCAAGAAATCCAGTGGTCTCAGTACCCATAACATTTGATCACACTTGTTTCTATGTCAAGAAAGTTTTGTGATAGTATCTGGGCAAAAAGGCTCAATATGTATTTGTTGCTTGAGCACTGAGTGTTAGTGGGTGTGAAGTGGCATCTCATTGTGGTTTTGACTTGCATTTCCCAAATGAGTAATGATGTTGAACACGGTTAGTCTGGTCTTTAGCAATGTCATCTAACATCTGGTTTAGCCTCTTCCCGATACATCACTCTGCAACCAACACATGAAAAGCTTATCAACATTTCATGGTTTCTGGGTCCACTGCAATGCCAGTTCTGATTCTCACCATGTGCTGAGAATGCATGCAGGCTCAATGGGGCTAGAGTGTCATAAGTTAGCTGTGTCTGCCATAGGTGTAGCAGGGACAGTGATGGCATGTATGTCACTTGTTTGCTATCAAAGAGACAGTAATTCTAGCCCATAGCTATGAGCCACCACTCCATGGTCACAGGCACTGTTGTCTAGATTGCCAATTATTCACTCAGTTCACACTCACTGAGTACTTACTATTCCAGGTGCTAGGGATAAAAAGAAAACAGGACATGGTCCCTCCTCTTCATGAAACATGTATTAAAGTGGGGATTCAAATGATTACAAACTAAATAAAATATAAAACAATTATAAGTTGTAAGGCATTCTATTACAGAATAATCAGGGCACTTAGACTGAGAATGACATGGCAACCTACTTTAGACTGGGTGGTGACAGAAGTCTTCTTTGGGGAGGTGACATTTAAGTTGAGACTACAGGTTGAGAAGGGGCTAGCCCAATAGGAAAAAAAAATAGCATAAGAGGCAGAGAGAACAGCAGAGGAAAAGAGCTTAATGTTGGGGAAAGGGGAGGAAAGACAAGACACAGGTCCTGGAAAGGAGTTTGGATCTTATCCTACATTCAGTGGGAAGTTATTGAGGCCGGTGAGCAGAAACAGAGCAGGATCCAATTTCCGTTGTAATAGCACCTGCTGTTACATCAAGGCCAACTTCTAGGGGGCCATGTGTGGAAGCCTGGAGAGCAGTGCACTCATCTAAGTAGCTGGCTGAGGTTTGGACCAGGGTAGGAGCAGAGGAGATGGAGAGGAGTGGACAGATGCATGGCACACCTGCTGAAGGATCTGACATGGGGGCGGAGGGAAAGAATGAACCAAGATCCATTCTCAGGTTTACAGCTTTTGTGGGGAGTGAAGCGGTTTATGGAGCAAGGGAAGACTATGATAGTAGAAGCATGTTTTACTGAAAACTGTGAGGCATCTAAAGGGATTTGCCATGTGGACAATTGATAGGTGTTTGTGCATCTCAGAGGAGGGATCTGGGCCAACTGTGTAAGTTTGGGAATTATCTTCAGACACACCTCCATAAATATAGGAGTGGATGAGTCACCCTAGGGAAGAGAGGGCAGCAAGGGGAAAATAAGAGAGCATAGAAACAAGCCAGGGAAACCCCAAATGTTTAAACTCAGGCTGAAACTCGAAGAGGCGAAGCCAGACAAAGAGACTGAGAAGGACACCAAAGGAAGAAGGTGTTTCAGAGAGAGAATGGCTGACTGTGTCTGCCGTGAAGGCAGAGAAGTGTCCACTGGATTTGGCAACAGGGAGGTCACAGGTGGCCCTGAAAAAAGCAATTTCACTGTGAGGGGGGTAGGGGGAGCGAGGCAGGAGCTACTGCTGTGGACTGCAGGGTGAACAGGAGGTGAGGTAGTGGATCAATCACGGAATGACTCTGCCGGTAATGTTATAAATGTTAAGAGCAAGGCTCCAGAGGGTGAACCCAACTGATAGGAATAATAATAGTCATAATAATTTAAAAGTATGTTTTGCTTTTAATCTGTCATGGGTAATATCACTCTCTCACTGTGTAATTTCAGGCAGAATCATTTTGCTGCCCCCTGATGGTGTTATCAAAATTCATTCAAGGTTAATAGAGTTCACTGTGTCACAGTACAGAAAATAAACACTTAAAGATTCCCTCTGGATGGTGAAGTTAATAGACACACACCAAATACAATGTGATTACCAGCTCTGAAAGGAAGCAGACCATTTTAAACCAGAACTTTGGACGGTCCCTTTAGCCCCATAAACCAGAGCATCATGTTTCATATGAGCATTGTC